CTTTTGCAGCCTCCATAGCATGCCAAATACTGGGGGTTTGGGGGGGGGGTCGTTCAGGGTCTTTGGGAGCTTTTATGTGCTGTTTTCTGATTGCATATAGACAACATAGCCGGCCTGGTTGAATTTACCACTGTTTTGGGCTAATCCGAAAATAGCCGAAGACCACCAAACCCCCAGTTCTAGTAATAAGCCTGCTACGGGGGCTAACTCTTTTGCAGGCTCAATAAATAGTAGAAATCGGCATAAAAAGAATGTAGCTGGACAGAGGAGTTAGTTGGCCATAGACTGATGATTGATAGAGGGTCCAGTTTGCCTGCAGCTACATTCTTTGTAGGCCGATTTTCTACTATTTATTCAGCCTGCAAAAGAGTCCGGTGGAGACTAGGTCAAGGTTGCCGTGTGACTTTCCAGACTGTTCTGCCAAATGTCTTCGATAAATGTCATCACCAAAACGGGCTCTGCTTCCCTTCTAGTACTGTAGTTAGACGGCGGACTGAACTCCTGCTAGCCTATTTAGTGGCTTCCGAGCCTCTTTTGTCCTACCTCTCCAAAAATAGTGATGATGATCCAAAAATAGAGTACCCGGGGTGGATGTTATGAAAAATAGTGCAGAAAAGGAAAACCATCACAGACAAATGCCGTGAACTCCCAAAACCGTCTCCGTCTGACGCGTTTGTCTATGTCATCGTATATCCGTTATTTTCATGTTACATGTACTTGCACTTAGCCTGCGGCCAAGAACTTGCAATAAACTTCCACTTCCTTCAAGTTCAGGGTAAAATAATTTTCATGTCTACCTTGGAATGCTTAGAATTCGGGTAAGCTGATGTACAGTTAGACCTGCTCAAGCCGGCCACCCCGACATAACGACCGGAAAAGGGCCCGATTTTTTATCCATAGCCGCAAGCATTGAGCGATCTGCCCAAGACGACCTCTTTACTTCGGCCCCCTGTGTGGCCATCTTGGGCAGGGTTGACTGTATGTATGAATGTTGGGTAGGCTTTTCCTTTGATCTGCGCAGTGAGGGCTGACGTCATCAGTACTGACGTCACGTTTATCTGTTATTATTTTTTTTCAGAGTGAAGCTATCCCATCATGCCTTTCAAGGCCCCCCAGGCGCCGAAGTGCCCGAAATGCGGCAAGTCTGTTTACCAGGCGGAGGAGCGGCTGGCAGCGGGGAGGAGCTTCCACAACACCTGCTTCAAGTGCTGTAAGTACACCTGCGTCAGTACACCTGCCTTAACACCTGCCTAAACACATGCTTCAAGTGCTGTAAGTCTGTTGCACCTTCCACAACACCTGCTTCAAGTGCTGTAAGTACACCTGCGTCAGGTGTCTCTAACACCTGCTTCTAACACCTGCTTCAGGTGCTGTAAGTACACCTGCCTTGCACACCTGCCTAACACATCCGCTTCAAGTGCTGTAAGTCTGGTGCACCTGCATAACACACCTGCCTAACACACCTGCCTAACACACCTGCTTCAAGTGCTGTAAGTACACCTGCGTCAGTACACCTGCCTTAACACCTGCCTAAACACCTGCTTCAAGTGCTGTTTGTCACAACTTCCACAACACCTGCTTCAAGTGCTGCAAGTCTGTTACACCTTCCACAACACCTGCTTCAACTGCTGTAAGTCTGTTACACCTGCCTAAACACCTGTCTATCACACCTGCCTAACACACCTGCTTAACACACTTGTGTAACACACCTGCTTCAAGTGATGTAAGATTGATACACCTGCCTAAACACCTGCTTCAAGTGCTGTAGGTAAACCTGTGTCAGATACTGTAAGTGCCTTACACCTGCCTTAAACACCTGCTTCAGATGCAGTAGTTGTCACACACCCGTTTCTTATATCATGTGACAGACGGTTTCACCAGAAGTAGGCTGTCTTTGGTTATCTTTACCTTATAACGAACACAGAGGAACGTTCACTAACTTTTGTACATTTCCTTTTATTACAGCCATGTGTAACAAGATGTTGGACTCTACCACTGTCGCGGAGAGGGAGGACAGCCTGTTCTGTAAGACCTGTTACGGCAAGAAGTTCGGGCCCAAGGGCGTGGGGTTCGGCCAGGGCGCAGGCGCGCTAGGGATGGACTCGGGCGAGAGGTTCGGCAACAAGCCCACCGAGAGGTATATAAACAGTTGTAAATAAGGTGAACAAGTTGTGTAAAAATGGTGAATACCACTTTGAAAACGAAGCATGTAGAATATTAGTATCGGTGGTGTGACGGCACCTTTTGAGACTATTTTTTTTATTGTTCACACATCAAGGAAGATTGTACAACACAAAGCGGTAGCGCACTCAAGTTAGTCTCCACCAGACTTCTCTTGCAGGCTGAATAAATCGAAGAAATCAGCCTAAAAAGGGTATATATAATTGGCCAGAGTAGGTAGCCGGCCATCGAGGGTCCAATCGGTCCGATGGCCAGTTACCTTCTCTGGCCGATTTCTACGATTTATTCAGCCTGCAAAAGAAGTCTGAGATGTCGGAAGCACCACCCAATGACGAACGCAGTGACAAGGTAGGCCACAATGCATCGCCCCCGTCCAGCGGCGCCCCCTAACGGCTTTGTCTGTCCCTGCAGCACGGCGCCCATGACCGGCGCGGCCTACCTGAATGTCGGCAAGTCCTCGGAGCCCGCCAAACCCTCCAAATATGGCAGCACGGCCGAGAAGTGCCCTCGCTGCGGGGGGTCCGTCTACCCAGCCGAGAAGGTCATCGGCGCCGGAAAGGTACCGCCATCTTGGAATTTTCCTCTTTACCGAAGGAAAATATATTGTTTCTGCTCTGTTTCTTCTTCCTCTTCTTCTTCTTGCTGTGTTTTAAGATTTAAAAATTCATTCTCCAAACAAATAAGATCAATGACATCAACCAGACGTCTGTCACCATGGTAACTGGCGTTGGGTTACATCATGTTGCAATTTTATAGCAGGAGGGATTCAGACTCTTGTCACCATATATATGAATGTGTTTGAGTAAGAATTAACAGAGCAGACCATATGCGAAGGTAAACATTATGCATTTGCTTTGCAAATGTTACCTTTCTAGTTCAGACTTGGATTTTTGTTTTACAACAAACAACATCAGTATGATAGAAATAATAGCCTTCATTGTAGAGTTACTATTTTTTTAAATCGATGATATATAATGTTAAATTTCATTGCCCGTGGTTTGATGACGTCCTTGATCCAAATTCGGTGTCCGAATGCCGCTAGTGAAACTTGCCCATGATGTGAACCCCCCTGTATTGTGTGTGGAACAGTCCTGGCACAAGGTGTGCTTCAAGTGTTCCGCGTGCAACAAGGCGCTGGACTCTACCAACGTGTGCGACAGGGAGGGGGAGATCTACTGCAAAGGTGAGGTGTGTTGGGGTAACACTGTAGTCTCCACCAGACTTCTTTTGCTGGCTGAATAAATCGTAGAAATCGGCCTAAAAGGGTTATTAATTGGCCAGAGAAGGTAGCCGGCCAGAGAAGCTCCATTTGGGTTGTTTCTGATAGAGTTTTAGGTCTTGTTAACCCTTGTCCTGCTGGCAATTTTTACACAATATTTTCAAATAATTTCATGTATCAATTAGGTCACAGACCCTTGACTTTTTTTGCCCTGCGGCGGCGTAGTTACTTCCGCATTCGTTGCGTTTCGCTGCGGTGTGATGCGTTGCACTAGAAACACCCCCAAATCGCACATATACAGGGCACTATATAGATGGTACTGTATGTGCAACCCATATATATATATGGGCTCCGCATGTCAGAAACTACGTGCTGATATTAGTCATAGTGTTTAATCCCGAGTAATGAGCTGATACTGAGCAGACCTGCTCACGGCGGCCTGGATGTCACATTGTGTTTACAGATCGGCCCGAGGAGAGACCCCGCGGGGTTTGGTTGCGCGCGGGCCTGCACGGCGGGTTGTTTATGGCCTAAATGATCTGAGGTGCTAGGCTACTGTCCTTGTTCCGTCGATGAGGGGATTACTTTTATGCCTTTTCATGCATCGTAGCGACTTCTCACAGACTTCTTGGCAGGCAAATGGAGCTTCTCTGGCTGACTACCTTCTCTGGCCAATTAATACCGTTTTTAGGCCGATTTCTACGATTTATTCAGCCCGCAAAAGCAGTCTGGTGGAGACTAGTAACACTGTGTGCCGTGGCGTGTTTGACACTACTAAACCTGCCCACCCCCGCGGGGCACGTGCTATGTTACAGTCCTGGCACAAAAGATGCTTCACGTGTGCGGAGTGCAACAAGTCCTTGGACTCGACCACTGTGACCGACAGGGAAGGACAGGTTTACTGCAAAGGTACTAACGTCCGATTAATACTATACTACATTGTACTACGTATTTAAGTTTACTGGTATAATGAAGAGCTAATCTATCCATATGATACTAAAGCAACCAAGTGTTCTGTCATGAAATACTGAAAACGGGAAGGACTGGGATCTTTACGTGGCGTGGCTGTTGAGGTAATACATGTACGTGCTGGAACTGTTGAACTAATCTCGATTAAGCCGGAGTACCGCTGTCTTTTTTTACTAGCCCACCTAATCTGCTAAATGGCAAAACCTTGTGGACATTGTGGCAATTGGTTGAAATAATCTGTCGGTCTTGTATAGCCTCTATCAGGCTTCGGGAGGCGGCTGGAAAGAGTTGAGATTGGCCAAATAGAGAGATGACATGCCGAGGGAGTTGACAGTACCCTAAAGAGTACAGTTTGCCGCACCCGAAACAAAAAAATGAATTCGCTAGGGGACAAACTCCCTCGGAAAATCTCTATTTCTAGAGGGCCTGCAGGGGGGGGGGGGGGGATGGATTACGAATTACGCAAAAATTTTCGCCGCCTATTACGAATTACGTTTAGCCTGTGGCTATTGACAGGATCGTCCTGTCAATGCAGAAAATATTGCACTGCTGACAGGATCGTCCTGTCAATACCAGAAAAATATTGCACTG